ATAACGCGGGCGCAACATGAGAGCGGCCACAAGTTTAAGAAAACATTCAACAGTTTCCACCCCACAACACCAACAACCCCCATCGCGCTCGCACACAGCCCGGAAGACAAGGGTTGGTCTGACCAGCATGAAGACTATCGCCGGCTGAATATAGTAAACGTTCGTTGAATGTTAACGTCCTGGTGAGATATCGCGTGTGCGCGCGCGAGGGGTTGCAAACCGGAAGTGTGCTGCTCTAAATTCAAAATTCAACCCCCGAAAAAAAGAGTTAAATTTCCTTTCTGCTTGCGCGTTATATTAGTGGCGGGCTAGAGGTGAATTGTATGCGGTCAGGAAAACCACGTGCATGCAGGTGTAGGGGTTGCATTCCGTATTCAAGGGTTGAAAAGCGTCGAGAGGGCGTTTTAACATTTTAAAATCCTCTGGGACGCCTTGCGACCATCCCCGGCACGCTAAGGCCACATACTAACACAACACATCACTCAACTACCCCTAGAAAAAATATATACAGGGTGTTTGAAGTTTTTTTTTTAATAATTTTTAATTAAATTTTGTAAGAAATTTTGAAGTTTGCTGTAATTTAGTAATTGACGCGAATTATTCACGACGTTAATGTATAAATATTAGAATTAGATTATTTTTAGGGGTTGGTTCAGCCCTTGACGTCGAAGTTTTCTCATTAATATCCGGAATCATTACCAAATGGCGCTGCGCCCCATTTTCCGCGCGCACAACGGAAAATTATTCAACGGCAAAATTATCAGCCATAAGTACCACCATAAAGATCAATTTTAGGGGTGGTTTTACATTTTCAACTTAAAAAAATTGTTTTTATGTGTTTTTCATGAAACTTTTTGTTTTTTTTTAATGAAGAAAAAGTGTTTTTAACCTACGATTATCGAAATTTATGTCGACACTAAGCCATAACAAAGTTATCTTCATCCCCTAATGTGCGCTTGATGTTTTTGTCAATTCCGAAAGTCGTCAAGTTAAATTTAAAGGCAATTATCGGATTTCCACATCCAGCACTCAGAACGCGCGCGAGTTTGAATTCGGATTTCCACCCCTTTTGTGTCTCCAAGAGAGGGGTAGTTTCGTTTGCGCGCACACGGCATTTGCGATTACTTGCACGGCAGTGGAAAATTAGGAAAGCTCCGTTTTCTATTTCCACCCCCCTCCCGGCCCGGGGTTGGCGGCGGAATGGGGTTGGTGTCTTTTCCGGCGAGAATGTCAGCGTTTCCGCCACGCCGCGCACGCATTCGGGAGCTAACTACGTGTTCCAACTATCAACGAAACAGCTAAATCAAGCGCTGTGCGGAAAAGAGAATTTAGGGCTGCGCAAGTTTAGGCGCTGCCTGGTGTGATCATACACATGCTCTCGTCTGCTAAGGTTAAGACTTGTTCGTGAGAAATTGTTTACCGGGCTCACATGCCGCCGAGAGATGCCACTTACAGCGTGGTGGTAAGTGATATGTGCATTAGGGGTGTGGTAACACAAGTTTACTCACGGCACACAAGAGAAATTTAACTTTTACCTTTGAGGAGTTTAGTGGAAATTATGTAGTGAATATATTTAAATGTTTTAGTTTTTATTTGGTGGAAATTGCGTTAAAAATGACGGAGTTATTATAAAAATAGTGAAAATTTGCTCCGCCTACTTTTTTAATGCGCATGCGCGACTTACTTAGCTACTCTTTTTATTTTTTATTTTATTTTCGTTATTTCTTAACCGATTTTCTTCGTTTTTTCACTAAAACTCATAAAATTAATTTCCGCATCTTAAAAAATAACCAAAATTTGAATAAACTATATTTTACCCTTATATTTACTACCCTTAAATGTAATTTAGTAAATTTAAGGTATAATAACACACGAACTTGGTTCGCATGTCCAAAGTGCATCTAATCTAAACTATTAAATACTTGTGTAACCGTAAACCACCCCTCGCACCCCCTCAATCCCCCTAATGGCGAGCGTTCATAGTTCAACCCAGTTTGGACTAGATATCCGCCTGCACCGAAGTGAATTACCCATCTGACATTAGGATTAGTTCCGCGAGCGCGCGCCACATTCCGAATTCGCACCCCCAGCCACACACACACACAAATACAAACACAATTCGCGTTTATGGAGGTTGAAAATTATTTCCAAGTTAAACTTTTCGCCACTACTAAATCTCTCTCGCGCCGGCCTAGCAACAGTACGATTCCGAATTTGACTCGCCAAGTTGAATTGTGCAGTCGTGGGATGATGCGCGGGGGTTGTTCCTGTATAATTCATGCGTTCAAATTATAAACTGGTAAACTGCATGCGCGTCTGGCAATGAATAGATAATGAGTTGCAACTTCGACGGGCGCGCGCGCGCGCGCGTCCTCGCAGGGGGTTGCATGCATGGGACACACGTATTGTTTTCAATTATTTATAAGACGGATATCGATTTAACCGTCAGCGGATTGGCTGGGAATTTATTTCGAGTTTATTCAACCATAATTTCAGCGTGGGTGGAAATATTATGTTTCATAATATAAATTTAAAAAATGACAGGAAACTGTAATGTCGGTAAAGATAAATAAGGTTAGAATTATTAAGAAAGGAATCTGTAATGTCGGTAATGTTGTAATAAGGTTAAATTCGTCAAAGAAAGGAAACTGTAATGCCGATAATATTAGATTAAGGTTAAATTTGTTGGAAAAGGAACCTGTAATGCCGATTATGTTAAAATAAGGTTAAATTTGCTAAAAAAGAAATCTGTAATGTCGGTAAGATTAAAATATGGTTATGTTTGTTTTATTTTGAGTTATTAAGTAGTATTTTTGTTTTAAAGTGTGAAATAGAAACCTGTAATGTTGGTAAACCTGAAATAAGGTTATATTTACTAAAAAAGAAACCTGTAATGTCGATGAGATTAAAATATGCTTATATTCATTAAAAAAGAAACCTGTAATGTCGGTAAGTCTTAAATAAGGTTATCTTTATGTTATTTCTTTTCATTTCGCGTTTTTTGTTTGTAAATTTGTTTTTTTCGCCATTCCCAGACATCTTTTTCACGTTTGGGGAATTTCCCCGGCTGCGAAAAAAGGTTTTCTTAGTCTTTCCGCATCATTATACATTTTAAATTCGTAATCTTAATTTAGATCGTGTCCCGCTTTCGGTAATCCGCTCGACGTGCTTGCGTTCGGCTTTTTTTTTATCTTCTTTTCCGCTTTCTCAGAGAACCAAAAAAAAAACACGGAAAAAAGAAAAACCCTGCCGGGCTTAATATTTCAAGGGTTGATTATTGTAACACTCCAAACAGATTGTTTGCCGTTCGCAGATTAGTTATGTTAGGCGTAGTTCGTGAACAGCGCGTGCGGTCTAATGGACTCTTGTTTAATCCCGGAAAGGGTATTGAATCTTAATCACCACAATCTACACCGGAAGGTCGTCGACGAAAGCATCCCGTCGATTGTCTACAGCTGCATTCCACCACACTACTGCAGCAGCACTACAACCATAATAATTCATCGTGTTAGGCAACCAAATGTGCATTACGCTTTGTACGTACGCATGTATGATTGGTTGCTCACATCGGGGCTACTGAGTGGGTTAAATTCAGAAATGATTCGTTTTATGACACGCACGTAGCGACGATTTCTTTTTCGGCGGTCTGCGGTCGGTGGTGGCATGTAGAAAAGTCGAAATAATGGCGGTGGCGTCGCGTTTCGTGCGTGAAGGCGCAGAAAACTATAAAAAGCTCATTATACAGAAAACGGACGTTTTTTTACGTCTGCGTTCTGCGGTTGATACATACCAAATGAAATCACCCTCTTAAGATATTATACAGGGTGTTTAAATTATAAAAAAATAATTTTGGTGTTTTTTTCAGTAAAAAATTTTGTTTTAACACTCTGTATTTGTAATTTTGGCGCGTTTGTACAATATACGATGTCTTTTTGGAGGCCGGTTTTTCCCGCCGACGATAAACATCCCCGAAGCTTTAAATATGCCTCCGGAAAAAAAGGTGGAAAAAGGAGCGCGCTCGCGAGCGATAATTAATTTTTTTTTGCGCCTACACGCGTCGGCACGTTGTTTTCACGCGCTCGCGTTTTTTGCTTTATGAACGCAGGCGCGCGGAAAACGAGTGGAAAATGCTTCAAGCATGCACCCACCTAACGTAATATTACATCTAGTGTCAAAAAACGACGAAAATCTTTTCATTTTATGCGAAAATCTATCATTTTAAAAATATACAGAGTGTTTGTTTTTTAAATTTTTTTTTGTATTTTTTTGAAAGTGTAGCTTACACAATATTGATGAAAATCGATATGTGCATCAAATGTGTGTGTTTGCTTGTTTGCGATCGGCCCACCTCCACCTCCTCCATATGGCATAGTTCAACTTGTTCAACTTCGCATTGTTCACCGCCGCCGTTGCCGCCACCGCTGGCACTCGACGTGAAAGAGTTGTAGTTTTCCACATGAACCGTTTTTCCTCCAGACCAGAGGATCCTGTTGCCCCTATTCCCTTGGAATATCGAGGGTAAGTGTATGTAGTGATCCGACTTCCGGTTTTCCGGTTTTTGTTTTTTTCATTTTTTGAGGTTATGAGACTATGAGATGAGGTTAAGTTATAATATTAACTTATCAAATTAAATATTCCGCGCCGTTGATGTCATTAAAAGCGAAATTACAAAACTCTAACACGGTAATTTTTTCGAAATTATTCCCCGGGGACAATTCCGTTGTGGAAAACTTTTATATAACTTGTCGCAGCGCATAAAGTTGTAAAAGTTACGCCCATAAAAGAGGCAAAAAAAAATTAACGGCCTTCGACTTGCGCTTCCAATGCGAAATGGGAATGAAAATGGCAAACGAAACGAACGCTAAGCATGCATAGATACGAGAAAAGGTGAATTTCACATTACACACATTAACATTTTCATTAATATTAACATATATAGTAATGTTAATAATAATAAAAATAAAAATTATTTTTTTTTGGTTTTTATAAAAAAAACTTACCATTATTTCATATTTTTCATTCGAAGAATCCTCAAATACCAAAGTTCGTCACATCCATGACACATCCACGATGCACACACATACACAAGCCGTGATTGCGCAACAGTCACTCTACGATATCGCTTAATTAAAGACACATAATTAGTTTGTTCCACTTTCTTATTACTTCCTCACTTTGTGTGTTTCCGTACGCTTCACTTATATTTCAATTTTCTTTTCCTCTCTTTTCAAACCTCAGGTATAATTTAATTGAATTTAATTTGTGATTTATACTTTTTCCGACCTTTGACGGTAATTAAAACATCGAATTGGGATCTTTGGATTTTCGGCTTTCATTAATCTCGGCGCGCGGATTCTTCATTAAAGCAAATTAATTAACAATTAATCAACGCCCAAAGGGGATTGTGAGTAACAAGTATTTCTATGCTTTATTTAGTAACTTTTTGCGTTTTTAATTTAATTCCGTTGGGTTTTATTGCAGTGTTTCACGATTTTATGGTTAATTGAGAAGCAAGACGCGGGTTGATCCTGATCCTGATCGTTACCAGTGGGTTGAGAGTTGAAGAATTACGGGACGGGTCCGGGCGGCGTAATTCCACGCCAAATCGACGATTTCTGTGCGATTTAACTCGGCACCGAGGATGTGGATGCGGCGGCGGTGGCGGCACTTAGGACGTGCGGTGGATACATGGTCCGAATGGTCACATGGGCACACCTCCTTTTGAGGGAAATAATTTTTTTCGATTTTTATCAAGATTTAATTAATTTGAAAAGTTGAGGTATAAATTTTAAGTTTTTTATTTAATTAATTATTAATTATTAGTTAACACTGCACGTTGAAACTAATTACACACTTGCACTATTTATACATACATGTTTCACTAACATTTATTTCAAATTTTTGTGTTTTGGTTTAATTTTTAAAATTTTTGTTTTAGGATGTTCAGAATGGATAAATTCGTTGGAGACGCGCGCACACGCTTGATGAGCGTAACGAAGGATGATCGCGGCGGCGCGGATCCTGCGTCCTTCGTGTCCGCTCGCCTACTGTTGCTGCGGCCCGCGCGGAGGCGGTGGACAGGCTGCCGCGTGCGCGCGCGCCGAACATCCGAGCATTTGGTCACTAGGTCGTCGCCGCCGCCGCTGCTGCTGCTGCTGCTGCTGGTGCTCGGATCGACGTGACAACGTTGCGCGCTGCGCGTTTTCCACCCCCTGAAAATTTTGCGCTTGCCTTGCTCGCGTGCGCCGCAGTTTTCCCAGGTTTTCTTTTTTTTTGTCGTCGCGTTTCTGTGAATCGGGTACATTTAAGCGTCGGCGACGTTCAGGAATGTTTTTGATTTTAAATGCAGTCGTTAAATTTAATTAACAATGCCTACGCCTTATAGACCTCAATGGAAAGTTGTTGTCGCGGTGGGAAACATTTTATGTATGAAATAACATTATATAGAAACCCTTGAAATTATAGCTGTTTTAAATTACCTAAATTTTGAAAATTTGTTTCAGAAAACTTGTTGTAGTTCTTGTATTTAATGAGAAATTTTGAATTTTATATTGTTATATTGTAGATTATGGAAAATTTGTTTTGTATTTCGATTTTTTTTTTAATTTTTGTGTATTTTGTATTGAAAACACTCGGTATTTTAGGTACAAATAAAGTATTTCATTATTCTTATCTATATGTCATAACTTGAAACACCCTTTACAAAAAGCACTCCTCATCCTTCTTTACATCCTTAAGAAGTGCCCTAAAATTGCTATTTTAATTTTAAAATGATTATAATTCATAAAATAAAGGAGATACAGAAAAACTCGATTAAGATAAAAAATTCGCCTTTTAGAGATTTGTTATAATTTGTATTAAAAGTTAAAATAATTACATATTATAGTTTTAGAAGAAAGTTTTGGCGGAGGCGCCTGACATTTAATATGTAAATGTTTGTAGTTAGTTCAATTATTAACTTTTTTCATTTCTGTTTTCGGATTCCGATAGATTATTTAGTTCGGCAGCGAATATTTAAGTAAATTTTTTTGATATCATTAACCGTTTAGGCCCTATTTGCAATTTTAATATAAAAACGTGTTTTTACAAGCCAATAAGGCCTTAATCTGAAATTATGAAAACAGATTCCAATTTAGAATTTAATCTTCTTTCAGAATCCGGAAACAGAATTTCAAAATTCCTATTATTTCAAAAGTCGTATTTGGTGAAAAAAGATTTCGTCATAAAAAAGGCAAAACATTTCTCTTTTTTATGTCGAATGCAGTTTTCAATAAAATTGCCAATAGGGCCTAAACGGTTAATGTTAGCAAGAAATGTTACTTAAATAATCGATGTAGAATTAAATTGTCTATTATAATCCGAAAACAGAATTTAAAAATTCCAACTTTTAGTTTTTAATATAAAAAAGAGAAATCTTTTGCCTTTTTTATGACGAAATCTTTTCATTAAAAATTTTTTGTGCCATTTTTAACATTTTTCAATAATGATGCCATCTTGTAAAGATTTTTTCAAGGATTAAGAATATGTAGTTCTTTTTTTTCTAGCCCTTTTAGTTGTCGAGATAATTAACATTTTAATCTCTTAAATTAGACTATTCCGACGGAACACACGTGTTTTACTAAAATTGCAGATAGGGCCTAAACGGTTGGTGCTAGCAAAAAAAGTTACTAATATAATCGATGTAAAATTAAATTGTCTATCAGAAACCGAAAACAGAATTTAAAAATTCCAATTTTTAATTTTCAATATTCCTAATTAGATGATGAAATCGTAATTAGCTCAACAACTAAAAGAGCTAGAAAATAAAGAACTACATATTCTTGATCCTTGAAAAATTCTCTACAAGATAGCATCCTTATTGAAAATTGTTGAAAATGGCACAAAAAATTTTAACGAAAAGATTTTGTTATAAAAAAGGCAAAAGATTTCTCTTTTTTATGTTGAAAATTAAAAGTTGGAATTTTGAAATTTTGTTTTCGGATTCTGATAGCTAATTTAATTTTACGTCGATTATTTAAGTAAATTTTTTTGATAACAGCGACCGTTTAGGCCCTATTTGCAATGTTAGTTAAAACACTGGTGTCGTCGTGTTGACTTCATTAATAATTTTGTTTATCACATTTGCAGGCCAATAGGGCCTTAATATGAAATTGAGTTAATTGATTCTGATTCAGAATTAAATCTACTTTCAAAATCCGAAAACAGAATTCCAAAATTCCTATTATTTCAAAAGTCGTATTTCGTGAATAAAGATTTCGTCATAAAAAAGGCAAAAGATTTCTCTTTTTTATGTCGACACTAAAAGTTGGAATTTTCAAATTCAGTTTTTGGACTATGATAAATCTTTTAATTTTACATCGAATATTTAAGTAACATTTTTTGATATCATTGACCGTTTAAGCCCTATTTGCAATTTTAATGAAATAGTTGAACTTCGCATCAAAACATATGTAGGTTCTGACAAATACAATTTTTTGATTAAAAACGAAAATAGGGCCTAAACGATTGATATTAGACAAAATTTTTATTTAAATAATCGATCTAGAATTGTATAACCTATTCGAAACTGAAATCAGAATTGAAAAATTCCAACGTTTAATTTTGAACTTAAAAAAGAGAAATCTTTTGCCTTTTTTATAACAAAATCTTTTCGTTAAAAATTTTTTGTGCCATTTTTAACATTTTTCAATAATAATGCCATCTTGTGCAGAATTTTTCAAGGATCATGAATATGAAGCTTTTTTCTTTCTAGCCCTTTTAGTTGTCGAGATAATTAACATTTTAAATACTACTAAATTAGACTATTCCGACGGAACACACGTGTTTTAATAAAATTGCAAATAGGGCCTAAACGGTTAATGAACGCAAAAAAACCTACTAAAATAATCGATGTAGAATTAAATTGTCTATCATAAACCGAAAACAGAATTTAAAAATTCCGATTTTTAATTTTCAACATTCCTAATTAGATGATTAAATCGCAATTATCTCGACAACTAAAAGGACTAGAAAAAAAAGAACTGCATATTCTTGATCCTTGAAAAATTCTGTACAAGATGGCATCCTTATCAAAAAATGATAAAAATGGCACAAAAAATTTTTAAGGAAAAGATTTTGTTATAAAAAAGGCAAAAGATTTCTCTTTTTTATGTTGAAAATTAAAAGTTGGAATTTTGAAATTCTGATTTCGGATTCTGATAGACAATTTAATTCTACATCGATTATTTAAGTAACTATTTTAGCTAACGTTAACCGTTTGGGCCCTATTGGCCCTTTTTATTGAAAACTGCATTCGACATAAAAAAGAGAAATGTTTTGTCTTTTTTATGATGAAATCTTTTATTTCAGCAAATGCTACTTTTGTAATAATTGGAATTTTTGAATTCTGATTTCGGATTTTAATAGATAACTTAATTTTATATCAATTATCTACGTAAGATTTCATCGACCGTTTTGGCCTTATTTACATTTTTAATAAAAAATTAAGAATAAGGCCCAAATTGTTAAAGTTAAAAAAATGTTAAATAAATATTAGATAGAGAATCCTTCAGGTATTCAAGATCTGAAACCCGATTTATGCTAGCCCTTATAGTTACCGAAAAAAATTGCAATTGAAAATTTTTATTTATTTCGACCCGAAATAATTCTTCGAAATAAGTGCGACCCTGTTCTTGGAGCAAAAATATTTTATGTAAATAGTGCGGCCCTGTTCTTCGACCAAAAAATAATTTTAAGAGTTAGGTTAGAATCTGTTTTTTGTCAATAATGATTCTAAAGAGAAGTTAATACAAGTTTAGTTTCTTTTATTTTTATTCCTGTAATTGACAGAAAAGGTAACATTTTAAATAATAAATTAATCAAATGTTGTCATTCATAATATCAAATATATTAACAACCGAACAAATAAATCATCACTTCAAGTAATAACAATTAATTATCCTTATACGTAAGAAACAATGCCTACATTTTACAAATCTAAATAAGCAACAACTAATGAAAATTATCAAGTGTGGAGTGGACTATTAGCCATTTATTCACAGAGATGTGGCACGTCTTCATACAATTCATGTTCAACTGGACATATTCGTAGACAGGTTTGAAAGGACCCTCCGCCATCCAGGTCCCCGTCCCCTGCTCCTCATTATTTCAGGGTTCAGGAAGCTGTCTCAAATCATGAAGGATTATTCACATACATCGAGAGTGGATCCATCATAGGAGTCAGTCGATTGAATGTCAAACCATAACTGTAACAAAAATTAATATTAGAAATTCGTATTATGATCTTTTGATGGCGTATTTGAAGAAGTTCCAAACAGTTTTAAGGGCAGTCGCATTAGGTATAAAACAGGATGTTATTTTCAGAAAACGAATCAATATCGTGATACCAAATATCTGAAGACGAACAGCGGGGTAACAATACCACCTAAAAGAATAATTCAAAAGGAAAAATGGACATTTTTTTCAATCGCGAATATCTCGTAAACTAAAAGAGATAATTAAGATCCGATCGCAGCGTCTTAATCTACGAACTATTTTCTATAAGATAGGCTAGTTAAAACGGAAATCTAAGAGATAAAATTTTCATTCTTAAGAAAAAATTGTCAAGGGGGGGTGCTTGATACTTTTTTTCGACGATTTTCAATAATTCATATCTCCTTAACTAAAAGCGATAGCAAGCAACGAATTGCTGATTATGATAGATTGAAAAATTCTCTATCAGATAAAAATATAAAATAATTATATTTCCAACAGTAAAAGGTCAAAAAACGCGACTGAAAGTACTAAAAAGTGACATTTTTCAATTTTTGATGATTTTTTTCAATCGCGAATATCTCGTAAACTAAAAGAGATAATTAAGATCCGATCGCAGCGTCTTAATTTACGAACTATTTTCTATAAGATAGGCTAGTTAAAACGGAAATCTAAGAGATGAAATTTTCATTCTTAAGAAAAAATTGTCAAGGGGGGGTGCTTGATACTTTTTTTCGACGATTTTCAATAATTCATATCTCCTTAACTAAAAGCGATAGCAAGCAACGAATTGCTGATTATGATAGATTGGAAAATTCTCTATCAGATAAAAATATAAAATAAATATATTTCCAACAGTAAAAGGTCAAAAAACGCGACTGAAAGTACTAAAAAGTGACATTTTTCAATTTTTGACGATTTTTTTCAATCGCGAATATCTCGTAAACTAGAAGAGATAGAAAGGAACGAATCGCAGGGTCTTAATCTACGAAAAATTCTCTATTAAATAAGCTAGTTAAATCTAAGAGATGAAATTTAATTCATAAGAAAAAATGGGCAAGAGCTAATTTTGCATGTTTTTTTGATGGAAAAAAAGGTCTTACCTCGCAAACTAGCAGGAGTTTTGGCCTTATTCCATCACTATTTTATAATGAAATAGTTTGTCTTTCCAATAGTGTACGCCACAACCCTTAAGACAGCCAGATATTACCCTCAAAGTAAAAAATAAATATTAAAAATTTTAATTAAATTGCGTTAATATCAATTACATCAATACTTTTACACAGTGTGCATAAAATGCGTGTGAAGAATTACGGACGCACCGTGGCTAAAGTGGGTACTTATTGCGATATGAAATTTTTAGCATGCAGTTAATAATAGATGCGGCGAGATGTCTGCGTCGCCTTCTCAGTTCTTCATGCCTAGTTTTGATATTCATACGCGGCGCGTCGTTTTCGGCGCTAAATTTTTAAATTCGCATTCGCGCCCCTCTAAAACATGCACAACCCACGCGCCGCCCCTGAAAGCCGTTGATAAATATGCAGAATCACTTTATTTGTTTATTTGACAAACGCCTTTTTATCATTAAACTTCTAAATGAGCTGTAATTGCAACGAATGCATCAAAGTGCATATTTTTCGCTAAGAGTACTGGAACGAAACGAATTACGTCAAGTTTTTAATCGTTTTAAAAGCCGAGCCATTTTCATCGCATCACACAGGAGAAAAGAAAATGAATAACACTAACACATTGAATACAGTGCATCAACACTGCAACGGTTTCACTTTGCTAATGAACCATAATCGACTTTGCCCGCCCAAACCCAGGATAATTATGATTGAAATGCATAAAACATTATTTTTAAAACAATTAGACTTTTAATCACATTATACGCGTGCACTCTATAAAATTTAGTGTGTATTTGGTTGCCTAACTTACACCACACGCTTTCAATCATTCACATAAAAAGAATGAATAGGATATTAGTGTATATATGGTTGCCTAACTTGTTTTTACTCCAACGCGCGTTTTCAATAATTCACACACAAAGACCGTTCAAGTTAATGAATAAAAACACCCTCGGCGCGAAAAAGTTGCGCCGAACAACTTAACAACTTCAATAAACATGAAACATTTGAAGCGCAACCTGAAACGTGCAAAAACCGCCAATGGGAAGGCATAGACCAGCGCCCAAGCGCGCAAAACAAGATGAGTACCCGAAAGAGAGAACTAGAAAATGGAATAAGGAAATAAGTGGCACTTAATCAAGTGCGTCTCGACTTTTGCAGCGCACGCCGCGCGCGCTTGGTTTTCTTTGATTTCTTTCATCAATAAAAACTTGAACACGCGAACAAAAACACCGCGCGCACACAACACAAGCCTTTGTTTCTCAAGTGCACAGACTTGGGGTTGTAAGATAAATTAAAAGATGAATTAATATTCGCGCGCCTCGATCATAAATTTTCATTCACTGCGGTTTTTTCCGGGTGTTATAGCTCGCCGCGCGAGTGTTTGACGTTGATAAAACGATGGTGCTTATTGTCGCGGCGCGTAATTAATTCCGGAGTCAAACGACGACACAAACATAACCTGACTTAACCTAAAATTATAATCGAGTGTCAACGGACGGAAAAATTGGTTAGGTTTTTTCAAAACACAAATAATTATGATACTAGCATCTTACTAGACATTAATTAAACGTTTACAAGCGACAATTTGCAAATTTTCTTCGTTACGCCATGGAAAACATGACCACGACGTGAAGTTTGCACCGAAAACGATTAATATCCGCCGTTGGTGTTGACAGCGCCTGACAAAAGCTTTTCAACGTGCTAAACACACATTCCACAACTTCAACAAACAAAAACTAGCGCTAGATGGCGTAAAATTACATGAAACGACATTTTGTTGCAACACTTAGTGTCGCACATTGAAATTCGATTGGTGGTTCGCTTTGGATAATTAATCGTCTCGTTGCAATCGGTCAAACTCCCCGTACGGCACGTTCGGCGGTTCGGGCCGAGGCAATATTGACTCGTGACAATAGAAATTCACGATCAGATCGCTTCATTAATTTAACGCGAGTGCTTTACGCAAGCACTGAATTCGGGCAATCCGGCGATCTCTGTCCGCCCGACCCGTATTGATTCAATCACATCCGGCAATTTTTTTGCGCTCCTCACGCGTGTCAATTAATTTTCCATTTTTTACCGCGCATAGTCGAATCTCGTACTCGATGAAGTCGATGAAGGGAACGATGATTAATTGCGTTAATTGTCGTTTGACCGGATGACCAATCATGCTATTCAATTTTGCGGACGTTAATTAAGTAGATTATGACTTGATTAAATTAAAATTTACGCGTAAAAGAGCAGGAATTAAAATTTAAATTTTGAAATCTTGAAAATAAAATTTTAACTTATTTTTGATACTCGTAGCGCCATTTATCGCCAAAGTTTAGAACTTTGACCAAGGTTAGAGACTAGTTCAGAAACACGCCACAAGATGGCAATACCTATACTAAATTACCTTTTATTATAGATTAATTCACTTAATTTGTTATTAACAGTAGGACAAAACATGTAAACTATATAAAATTAAAGACAAACAATAGCCCAACTAAAGTTTTATATTAGTACAACATTATAATGTAGTTATTATTAACAATTTACACATATTTAGTAATCAAATAGCTGCAGTATCTTAAAATCAACTAAAACCTTATAAAAATCGACGATTTCTCCCTAAATATCCTAATTTAAAGTGTTCAGTGACTATATAGATACATTAAAAGACCTATTATATGACCACAGTATAAATACATCAGATTATTTCCAGAAATCTTCATAAAATCACAAAAATATCAAAATTTAAACCTAATTAAGCAATTAATGCGTGCCATTAGCAATTATTGGACTGTTTTCTATATTCTGCTCCTTAAATTTAAGAGTCTGCAGTTTTTTACTCCCCACTTTATCAATAACATTAAGAATCCTCCTCATTAACTTATCGTGCACATCATCAATGCTTCCCGAAGCATCAACAGTCTCCCAGGAAGCATCCAACAGCTGATGAAAGACATCCAGGACCTGCTTCTGGATGCTCTCCTTCTCATACCTCTCATCGCCAAAACCAGGCCTGTTATTCATCTCAACCTCATTCAAAGTTAGTAGAAACACAGCGTCTGGTTTTGGCAAGCCAATCTCTTGTGTTTTACACCATTCAAGATCCATACCTGAAAAATAACTCATTGTGTCATTAAAAAGTATAATATTGGTGTATTTTATCTTTACTTACCTGGTTTAATTGATGAGTAAGCAATTCCTGAATAAGAATAGCGATCAACTATGAGTGTGACACCATCATGCAGCATTTTGGTCATTTTATCGGCGTTTTCCCAGCGATTTGCGGAGAATAAGAGGTGGATTGCTTTATCATGCAGTTTACAATCTTTATCACTTAGATATTTACTGATGAGTTGCCCTGTGAGGGTGCTACGATCCGGATACACAAAGAGTTCAGCTGATTGATTCTTTCTTTTGAGAGATTCGACTAGTTTGCGGCATTGTGTTGACTTTCCCGAACGATCAACACCCTCGAGAACAATTAGAGCTCCGCGTTTAAGAGACATTTTAAGTTTTTATGTGCACTTAATCACGTTTTATACTATGACTAGTTTCTGGCGCCAAAAATCATTACTTTGAGGTTTGGACCGTTAAAAACCGTTAAAATTGTTAAAATTCGTTAAAAATAGAAGAATATGTAATATATGACAAAATATTGTGTCATTTAATGAGAAATGATGTATTGTTACTTATTTAAATAATTTGTAACGATGACTCCAATAGAAATCGATTGAAACGCAATTAAATTGAGCGCAAATCACTAAAGCGCAACATAAAATAATTCGAGAGTTGTATTTAGTAAAAGTTTGAGTTTAAACTGAGTTAAACCGCACTTTTAGCTTCAAATTATACAATAACAATAAAACTAATTATATATTTAATATGTTTCAAGAATAACTTACCCTTCTAGCTCAGGAATTTGTTAATTAATTAAAAAATACAAAAGTTATGAATGCATTTCTGTCCAGTAACGCGCACAGTAATACCAACTGAAAACTCCCTGCGAAATACATAACCTACCTACCCAAACACGTTTGAAAAACTTGCAGAAATCGCTGAATTTCCCTCTAAAAATGTCGAAAACAGAAGCAAAAGTGAAGAAAATTCATATTTATTTAGCCAGCGACCGTGTAAATCCCTCAATCTCATCAAATCACCGCATTCCACGCATTTTTACACCTGGAGAAGTCGTCACTGAACAAAATGAACTTATGAAGTAATTATTAACAAAAAATATTAATTAAATTATTAACAAATGTTATATATTTTAGAGGACATGGTACCTACGAAGCCGATGGATGTCTCAAATCATCAGTAGCAGGTCTAAAAGAAGAAGTAAACAAGTTAATATCAGTAAAACCACTAAAAAGCCGATACAATGGAGAAATTGGAGATGTAATTGTAGGTAGAATCACAGAAGTACAACAAAAACGCTGGAAAGTCGAAACAAACTCACGTCTAGACTCAATTCTCCTTTTATCATCAGTAAATCTACCAGGAGGTGAACTTGTAAGTCAAAAAACAATATTTTAAGCGCAAAACTTAATTTTTACTTTAAAATAACTTAAAAAATGAAAATATAAATCACCAGCGGCGTAGATCAGCGGAAGATGAGCATATGATGCGCAAATATTTACAAGAAGGTGATTTAATCAGTGCAGAAGTCCAAAATGTCTTCGCAGATGGTTCACTTTCATTACACACAAGAAGTTTAAAGTACGGCAAGGTAAAACAACAAAAACACATCAATCAAGGGTATTATTATGTATTACTTACAGTTATCACAGGGTGTGTTGATAAAAGTCTTCCCAGCGTTGATAAAACGCAGCAAAACACGTTTTCACAACCTCCCGATCGGCGTGAGCATAATCCTGGGCAACAATGGTTTCATTTGGATTTCTCCTCTTGTAAACCAAGAGGAGGACAATGTGGGTGGGTTTATACAAAATCTAGATCAAGTTGTATCACGGGGTGAGCGTGAAACAATCGCGCGCATTCGCAACTGTATTTTGGCTCTCGCACAAAGCAAAATGATGCTTTACGATTCAAGTATTCTCTATGCTTTTGAAGAGAGCTTAAAATACGCTGTGGTTGATTTACTCACTCCTGAAGTGATGGTAGACGTTGCTATTTTAACTCAGCAGAGGTTAAACATCGCTGAAGACAATTAAAACGTCGCATTTTTAATTAAAATATTAATTTTATTGTGTTGAAATGTGTCTCGTCGAGCGCCGAAATAGCTAAATATATACAAAAATTAAATTTCAACTTGCACACAAATAAATATAAATACCGTCTGCGTATAAATATTAAATTCTATATAAAAAAAATGTTTCTTACGATTACAAGTACGGCTTGTAAGCGTAAGAAATTGATACATTCGAAGAGGAAAAGCGCAGTCCCACCACCGATTTGTTTCGTTTAAAAAATTAACGCTTGAGAGATCACCAGCCACCGACCCGAAACTTATACTTAATTATTACAAGTTACATTTGTTTGCGCGTACATAAATTAATTATGGAGTTGATAATATTGACTTTTGATGTCTCTCATCGAGTTGTTTGCAGTTGTAACGTTGCAACTCAATAGAAAGATCAAAAATGTTTGATAAATTAATGCATTTTCTTAAATTATAGTGTATAAGCTGTTGTAGTGTTGATTGGGTTGCCTAAGCGAGATGTTTACCAGGATTGAGCCATTTCTTCATGTAATAACAGAAGACTGTGCTGATGTAGAGGAGTACTAACAACGCACACGTCACTCCAAGTGCTAGTACTGAAGTTTTCGTCGGGCATGGTTCGATAATCGTCACTGTTTTATCTGTAAAATGTTTAAAATTATAGGTTATGTCTAAAAATATGTATGGTTGGTTGCATACCTCGATTGAAATCCGCACTGAGATCACTCTTCAAGAATTCCGATTGTTTCTCATCACCGAAGTCAAGCACCAAGATTTCTTGACTTAAAGTCATGTCTTCTTCCTTTTCTTCTTCGGTTTGGTTGACGGACCTCTTTCTCCTGCCCCAGGACTCGAGAGATTCACGGCCCCATTCGCAAACAGCCTAGAAATGACATTTTTATTATTTTGTTTGTATGAAATTAGTTTTAAAACACTTACAGCTTCACAAGGTCCTAGGCAATATTTAACATTGCACTGGAATATGACACCATAGGATTCGGTGAAGCGGAACGCCTCGTAGACGGATTGCAAAGCGTTGCCGTCGGGTGTGAACGCGGGGAATATCGTCGGATCAACTGGACAGCCATCATCATCGATTATCTGGAAGGTAGACTTTGAGTCCTTCGCCATTGCAACGCAACTACGTGCAAAAATGCCATAAGGAGCTGAAAATTTAATTTTTTTATGTTTAAATGTTTATTTCAGGCACAAAAGTTATAATATTTACTATCTTCGGGGATTTCAATCCTGAATGTAAGTTTATCTCCAATACGGACGGTTTCCACTTCGCGTGCGCGACTGTCAAGGATACGAATCCTTGGTGGAGGCGCCTCAGGTGCAGATGTAATGCTGATCATCTCTGGATCTCTGTTTATAAGATAAAAAATTAATATTTTATACTATTGATATTTTTGACGCGCATGCGCATTAGAAAAGTAGGCGGAGCAAATTTTACGTATTTTCGCGATAACTCCGCGAGTTTTCATCCGATTCGAACGGTTTTTTCGTCAGATTTCTTACCTAATAGGCATCATGCCGAAAGTGATGTTCTTGGAGCTCATGTCGTACGTGCACTTCACCTTGTAGATCTTATCCGCCTTGGTCATTACGACGCTGTGATGCTGCAGCACGACGGTGTTGCTGTAGACTCCGATCTGGAAAGCGAGCGTTGTGTTAATACGAGAATACGAAGGTCGGAGAGGAAATAACGCGGCTGCGCGCGCGCGTACTTACCACCGACTGCGTGTTGCAGTCCTGGCCGTTCATCGTGAGGTCCAATCTGAAGAGATCGCTGTTGATAACGTCCACGTTGCACGTCTCCGACCTGCCCAGCGCGTAGATACGTCCGTTGAACGGCTTGTTGGTGCGCACCTGTACGGCAATCTTTGTGTCTTTGCAGTTTACCGAAACTGTAAAAATCGGAGGCACATTAATATAAATTTATTAATTATTTTGATAAGAAGTATATTACCATCGTAACATGTGCCGGTCTTATCACAGTTGGCATCAGTACGGGTTAAATTGTTTAAGGTGGGATCTTCTTGCGTTTCGAAGACTACAGGTAGCGTATTATCACCTGTAGCAGGTCCAGATTCTAAAAATATATTAATAAGGCATTAAAATAATGATTTTCATTGAAAAAACGAAGAAAATCCGTTAATAAACACGGAAAATAGAGCAAAATGTAATTTAACGTAGGCAACTCATCATACACATATGCAATATGTGTAGTATAAAAACAAGCGGACCACAACTATTTTTTCAAATAACTCCGTCAAATATCAACGGATTTCAACGAGAAAAAAACAAATATTACTAAAATTTATTACTCTACAACTTACTCTCACAAATATTCTCAAAATAAGTCCCGATCCGGTCGCCATTATCAATCAACGGACGTTCAGCATTCAAATAAGTACTAGGTCCATCCGGAAGTGTCTTATGATCCAAGTGGAATAATTGACAGTTGTATTGCGAGCCTTGTGGCGACCCCTTGTAGAGGAATGAACGACATAAAAATTCGTTTTCGATCTCACACGCGAGTCTGCACGCTGATTCACTGGTCACTTGCAGCTCCTTATCAGTGTAGTAATGTAACCCAGCGTATTGTCCAACTTTATCATCAGCGACACCTATCTTCGGTGTAGCGAACAATCGATTGCCTTTGCACGCTTGATTACCCTTAATACACAAGTTTTCGAAGTAATCAACGCCTTGCGCGTCGACAAACTGCACGAATTGTCCGGTTGTACGACGATCGGCATCACTCAGCTGACATTGAAGTGTCACGTAATTATATTCTGCTGACCTACAGGTGAATCGATGCTGAAATAATAAAATTTTCAGTGAAAAAATCATAAAAATCGGTTGAGAAACAAAGAAGTTATGATGAATTTAAATTAACATTGGCCTTGTTAACGCATGCGTAGTAAAAAAGTAGGCGGAGCTCCCCTAAACTTAAAATCATCCTAACTTCTTCAATTTTAAAGATATTTCAACACGGAAAAAACTATTCTTCATAAAATTTCACTTACTTCATTAAGACAAGCAGCCAGACAAGCTTCCTTAGTAGAAGTGTAAATCAAAGCGTTGTCTAAGCCACGAATCATTTTATTCGGCACGCGTTCAAAGGACCACGGCCGCAGGCAGACATTTTCCGATCGCAGTTGTAATTTAGTCATGTAGTACATGTTGACGGAGCGTTGTGGCTGCGCACTGGGGTTGTTCGAAGAGGTCTCATTCTGCAGCTGACACAACGTCTCTTGTTTGGGTATGAGTGGATTCAGGACGAAACTGAACGCCGCCGCCTGGCAATCCGCTTCTTCACGACACCAGCCTTGACATTCATACAGCGATAAATTCTTCACGGTGTAATAGGTGGTGCCACGGTAGTCAAAATCCGTTAGCTTTTCGAATGCTATTCTTCCTGTAATATATTAATCAATATTTATTATGCGCATGCGCAGTAATTTTTATTTTATTTTTGGAGAAAATTATTTTAAACACTCTGTATGTGTTTGTATCAAGTTGCACTTTGCGGGTCACAGGTCGGGTTCGTTGTCGACCGCATGCAAATTAATTTATTAAGTGCTGTTTATGCACGACGTGCGCTCGTAACTCGAAGCATAAGATTAAAATTCATGCGAGAATAGACCGGTGCGGTGCGATAAATATTTTATGTGGACTCGAGAGGCTAATATAACCGGAGTAATTAAAAAGTGCATAAAGTTGCATACCGAAAGCATAAAATCGTATTTTTCTCGCGCATGCGCAGCAAAAAAAACGAAGCGCAGCGCTTAGTTTAACTTGAATGTAAATATGTTTGCATACCTAATGAACCCTCTATACTAAGGACTAGAAGGATTGTCGTCGCTAGCGTGATCCTCATCTGAAACAAAAAGAAAACGATTTTGTAGTAACTGTAACTTTGTGTAACTATGGAGTGCGCTTAGCTTGTGCCATTTCTGCGCGACGTAAAACGTGAACGTCTCAAGAAGAAGCGTAATGTAACGTTAGCGTAAACTCACGTTACGTGAGGTTTTTTGCCATCTTTGACATCGTTCCTCCGCACGTCAACGAGCAAATCCAGCTGGCGCGCGTTGAGCATTGTACAGTTAAACATTTAAGCATGTACTACATTACGTCCACTGGGGACCCGGGAGTAAAATGTTGGAAAATGCTGCGAATGGTGGAATTTGCGCGTCGCGCGTAGAATGCGAGCACATCCGTTTTGTTGCCAAGCTGTTGTGTGTTTAGATGTTATTACATGTGCGCAACTTAACGCCCATTATGGGAAAACATGCGGAGAGAGTCGTAAAGCGGGCAAAACGAAACAAAACGGTGAGATTCACTCAAGAAACGCGCTGAATGCGATGAAAAGCATGGAGAATCAAGTGTTGCAATAGTTTTAATCTAGGCAACTTTATTTACAATGTGTATAAATATTAATAAAGTAAGCGGAGGAATTTTTTAGTTTTTTGAGGATAATTTGGTCAATTTTTAATGAATTTTAATGAAATAAACGCTAAAATATCAATAAATTATTACTACATCGATGTAAGAAGAAAAAACTTTATGTTTCATTGGAGAAATGCTTTGAATCTGATGAAAAACAACAAAACTAAAGTGTTTTTCTGTAATTTTTTAGTTTTTTGCGAATAATTCATACAATTTTCAATAAATTTCAACAAAATAAGCGCTAAACTATCAACAAATTAAACCTACATGAATATCATGAAACAAAACTTTGAGATTCACTGAGGAAATGGTTAAAATCCGATGAAAAACAACAAAAATCAAGTACTGCGATAGTTTTAACCTAGGCAACCTTATTTACAATGTGTATAAGTATTAATATAGTTTACGGAGGAATTTTTTAGTTTTTTGATGATAATTTGGTTAATTTTTAATGAAATAAACGCTAAAATATCAATAAATTAATACTACATATGTGGAAGAAGAAAAAACTTTGAGATTCGTTGGAGAAATGCTTTGAATTCGACAAAATATAACAAAAATCAAGTGTTTTAGTGCAATTTTTTAGTTTTTTGCGAATAATTCGTACAATTTTCAATGAATTTTAACAAAATAAACGCTAAACTATCAACAAATTACACCTACATGAATATCAAGAAACAAAACTTTGAGATTCACTGAAGAAATGGTTAAAATCCGATAAAAAACACCAAAAATCAAGTATTGATTTAGTTTTAACCTAGGCAACCTTATTTACATCACTCATGCGTAATAATAAAATAGGCAGAGCCATTTTTTACTTTTTCTCTAATAACTCTTACAATTCTCAATGAATTTCAACAAAACAAAAACAAAAACATCAACAAATTAATTCTTTACAACAACAAACAACAAAATTCTTTGATAAAACATTTTTTAATGGTTAAAATCATACCGTTTGTTATTCATTGTAGAAATATACATAATTTACACATTTTCCCAAGTTCGCGATAAGAATTGATGATACCGGTAACAAAATAAGTTGAACGTTGTAATGCTAGACGCTGCAATAGTAAATTTCACAAACGCTCAGTCGCAGCCGAGTTCATTGCATGGAAAACACGACGACACGTAGTTGATGAGCGTTGAAGAAGCGAAACACGCCGAGCGCATGCAATTTCGTTCTCGATGCCTCATCCTGCCCTCGCGTTTGATTCCCTTTGATTTTCGCGCAGGGCAAAAACATGCGGCGCGCGGCGTTAAATTATGCAAAACGTGCGCATTATGTAATCGACTCTTCACTCGAACAAAACACATCGAAATAACTAGGAAATGAAATTCACGCATTTTTTTGATGCGCATGCGCATTGTGAAAATGGGCGGAGCAACGGTGCATTATTTCTCCGATAACTTCTATGCTATCCAATGGATTTTTATGCGACAAAAACAATTGTTAATGAAATCTAATGAAATTTAATGAAGTTTATAATAATTATTGATTTCATGAATAATTACGTAATTGAAGTTAAGTTGAATTGCGGTTATGTCGAAGCGAGCGTAGCGTTTAAGTGGGTAATGTCGTTAATTAGCAAGATGAATAGTCGCACGACGAGCGACTAATTGGCACTCATTAAGCTCAGCACGGAAACGAGCTTTTGAACTTGAATGACTGTAACCAAACTCTTCACTTTTTTTTCTTCTTCTTGTGTGCATTAAATATTAAAATTTTAAGGTTATGACTCGCGCGGTATTTAATGTAGCTTTGTAGCTTTGTGTGTCAGCCCGATGTGCTTTCAGTTAATGACTGCGTATTCTTCATGTAAACGCGTTCGTGCATTTTTGCATGCTGCACATAATCGACTAATCAACTAATGACTTTATACAATACGATGAACGAGCACATTCTCAGCCTGATTTTAGTATAATCAAAGAAGAAACGAACAAAATCGGTTGAGAAATACGCGTGGCAGAGTAAAAAGAAAATTTAACATAGGCAACTTATTATACATCTACGCATGTGTATTAGAATAATGGGCGGAGCAAATTATTACATTTTTATCAATAACTTTTTCAATTCTCAATCGATTTTTACGGAATAAAAAATAAAAATTTTATTATGATCAGTTTTATTGTTATTAATGATAAAAAAGTAAAATAGTCGTTTGCTGCAGGGTAATAAATTACCGTCGTTTTTAATAACGCAAACATTATTCGCGATGTGATTAATCTCGTCGCTCGCCGACTCGTTTTCCGTTTTGTTCGTTTTGCTCCATCTCGAACTTGCATCATCGAGCGTTTATTTCTTGTTTTGCTCCGCGCGGCTTCTTAACTTTGCGTCTCTAACGTTGTGCGTGTTGCCTGCGTCGATGTTTTATTGCTCGCCGGCACAAAGAGCGCCGGCGGTTGGAAATTTGAATTGAAAATTCGCGCGAGAGACGAAAACAATTTGTTACTCCCGGCGGACATCTACTGGCATCTATGCAACTGTCACGTCGCGCACAAAGAATCAAAGAGTTAAAGACTGAAATAAATCGATTACGGCGAAGATAAACGTTTTATATGCTAGAAAAACGTTTTTGCTTAAATGAATTTAAGTGTGCTTAAGTTAAGTCACTTTGAGGTTACAGTGACTTAAGTCTATAAAGTGTTTATTTATGTTTAGGAACATATTGTATATCGATTTGGCAGATGTACTTAAGTTAAGTCACTTTGAGGTTAAAGTGACTTAAGTCTATAAAGTGTTTATTTATGTTTAGGGACACATTGTATATCGATTTGGCAGATGTACTTAACTTAAGTCACTTTGAGGTTAAAGTGACTTAAGTCTATTGAATGTGTATTTGCGTTCGCGGACACATTGTACATCGTGTGGGCAGAGTTTATGCCTTAAGTCGAGTTCACTCGAGTCGCAAGAAGCAACACAAAAGAATAATGAGTGTCTCATTGTGCGTTTGGCGACTGCGACGGTCGCCAGCGCATGAAAGGATGAAAAATTATTGACAAATCGACGAGCCGACAATTCCCAACCACTCGTTGCTTGTGTTTTTTGCGTGCTTTCTTTGTAATCGGCTGAAATAAGTTGTATGAAACCTAAGACTTAAGTCAGTTTGAAATTAAACGATTTAACGCCATTTTAAGCCTTCAATAACTCAATAAAACTCCGATAACCTTGATAATTTTTTCATCCGTGATCAATCGAATATTGGATGACTTTAGACTTTGGCGTGGCTTAAGTTAAGTCAAGTCGCCGACACGCCGACGGCGGCGAACAAAAAGCGAGCGCTTAAAACGCGTGAAAATCGAACGGCGTGTGAATTCGACGCGTTTCGGTCAATTGGACGCACTGATTGAACTGCGGGATGCTGAGCACAAAGCGATTGAGGGAGCAAGGGCGCAACACAACAATGGCTTTTGTGATAATCGCATAATGCAAGAGTATAATCTATTCAGGTTCAAATAAGAAGTGGTTTAGTTTTTGTTTGGGGAAAATCGGATGAGAATTGGGGGAGATATGGAGGAAAAACGAAAAAATATTTGGGGTGTTAAGTAGTAGTCGCATGCGCGTTAGAGTTTGGGGCGGAGCAAGTAAAACACATTTTCATCGATAACTCGGGTAATTATCAACGGATTTTGATGAAATAAAAACTAAATTGTTACTTAAGTCGAAATACGTATTATTTGTTAATAAAATATTAAAAAATATCATTTTTAGGTTAAGAAAAACTTAACTTGTCTAGAGTATAGTGTTAATAACATAAAAAAATCTTACATTCTGTACTCTGATAAAGCAAGAAGCGTGCGAAATTAGAAAATAGCAAATCGTAAATTGTAAATTGTAAATCGAAAGCGAGACAATGCGACAATATTTTTTTCTCTTCATACAACAAATTTTTTTGCCGTTTGCGCACTTCATCTATTACATAATGCAATTGTGCTGCATTCGTATCGCTCGGAACGTGTTCGACGCGTCTTCAAAGTGTTCAAACTTCATGTTCGGCTTTATTCGCTTACAATCCATTCTTCAGCGCACACAAAACACCACACATCCGAGATTATACGTTCTAGCGCTCAGCTGGAAGTTGTTCTTGCGGTCTTGTTGTTGGCGGCGCGGCGTGTGGAAAGGAAGAACGCATGAAATGTGAAATAAATGTGCGCGCACGCATGGAAAACCGGCCATTGCCCGCGCGCGCGCTGTTAATTCTATGCTCAAAGCAGAAGAAAAGGCGCGCGCGCAGAGATCGAGTTCGCTTGAGTGCTGCGCACGCATGCCATTCGCGACCTTTCACCTCCCGCAATAAACCGCACCACCAGCTCATGTTAAACTAGGTTATGTTATATGACTTAAGTCACATTGACGCGTATTGACATTGACATACATCCTGTCATTACGAATTTCTTGCAAATCTTACTCACATCTTCCTGATTGGTGTGTTA